CCTCTAAGTTAACATGGGGAGCAACGATCGGCAAAAAAACGTTTGTCGCATGTTAATTTCCTACGTTCGGTTTTAAAATATTCACCCGGTATGTGAAATTCCTTTTCAGTGGTGATAACGCAATCTCAGAGGAGGTCAGCGATGTACTTGGTGATCCTTCATAGTCTTATAAATTTTTTACCCCATGTTTTAATATATTTTATGTTTTGTTACTGTGTATTTTTATTAAATAAAATATTACAAATATATATAGGTATTACAACTTTGGAATATCTTGGGTTTCACCGCGTGCGACGTCTTCAAAAAGTGCAGTAGGGAAGACTCTCATGCAGTTCCGATGCCAGTAGGTTATTTTTGTTATCATAAATGAATTCCCTGACCCCAAAAACATAACTCTAGACACCTTACACGACCCGGTGTGCCTTAAAAATACAATTCGATCAAAAGTCTGTCATTTTCTAAAACTGGCGGCTTTTCACGGACTTCCTGTATCCGGATTACATTTCTGGCGCTACTATTGGATTCCTCGGGTTAAAATCATACGAAATCGACACCCAGATCTCGTCTCTAGGCCATATTTAGTTTTTAAAAAATGTTACAATAAATCACCCTCACCCCCTCTAAAATCTACCCACACGGAAAATGTCAAGTGTTCTTCGGGTCAAATCGTTTAAATGGCTCTAAATAACAGCTGTACCAAGTGGCACCTTGGTATAAGAAAATGCAGTGATCTTTTGGTATACCGCTAGTACTACATCTTTGTGTTTCACGTAGAAAGTTCCACCATTCGAAAATGAAAGTGTTAGACAACTTGTCACGAAATTAAGTATCACCATTGAATGGTATTACTTATTGTCATAATTAATTTAATTGGTGGGTTTCTACATTCATAATCATTAGTTGACTATCATGAGATCTTTAAGAAATAGCCACTAGAAACAAAGGTTTCGTTGGTTAGGGACGCACAATAAACCTTATTGCTATTGGCTATTTCTTAATGATCTAATGAGCGTGAACTAATCATAATGATTGTATAAACCCATCATAACTCTTACTAAATACATTAATAATAATAATCCGAAAATTGCCATCCAATACTAAAATTGACAAAATATAGTAACGAATGATACTATACTAGAGCATTCTAAAAGTCAGGGATTTATTTAGCCAAAGAAAGCAGCCATGTACTCTATTAGAGACGAAACTTCCCTCGACCTTTCTGTAACTAAGCGCATTACGGAGGAAACATTTATTAGCTACATTCTTTGTATCAAATTACCCTCCAACTTGAAACAATTAAAAGAAATAAGCACGTTTACCTCCATTCCAGTTAGTTTTCTGACGGGAAAATGCGATCCAAATTTTCGCAGCATTAAAAATTGACAAACAGGTGTTTCTTTCTTTCATGATGTGCCAGCTTCAACTGTTATAGCGCTTCGTAGGTAAATCAATATTTGAACTGTGCAGACATCCAAGACGAAAAGGAAGCGTTACAACTCCATGTTGGAAATTGTAATCGACTGTCGACTACCCGATCTTAAGGCGTTAAACGTCCACCCCAGGAAACAATACATCGACTGAATTTTCATTAGCATAATCCCTTTGTGATCTTGGTCTAATCAAAGCTTGTTTACTCGCTGTTTTTATTAAGTAGAAGGGCGTTTAATCTCGCAACCCTTAAGTTAACTAAGTAAACATTACATCGTCTATGTTTAATTAAACGTTTTAAATCTATATGGCGTGTTTCAAGGGTCTTATTAGAGCTAACAATTTAAACCCCTACACTCAAGTGCCTTCATGTTATGTTTATAAATTGCATAGAACCAAAACCGCGGTGCTCGTAAATACTTACAGTTTTGGAGGCTGCCATGCATGTGTTCATCATGTCAAACAGAGTCGAGATAATTTAGTTCGTACCTTCGCGTGAGTG